AGTGATAGAAAATATCAGCAATTTTAGTGACACCGTTAGTAGAAGTACCTTGTTATAAAGATCATACGATCATGAAGTTTGACTATATATTGGGTCAGAATGTTTCTTAAATGTTTGAATTCGAACCCTTCGACCTCTCTTGACTTGACCTGCGGACCTTGCGCCTGCAACCTTGCACCTGCCCCGACTAGAACTATGAAAAGACTGTTATCTCTTCGCTTACCCGTGTGCCTTGAACCTGCTACTCGACCAATCGACCATTACTTACGGGCAAACAGACTCCACCCTTGATTCAAGATATTGATAGGGTGAATACCAGCCCATTCAATGCTAGGCATAATGAGTATAAGGTCCTCAAAAATCTCTTTTCGTCTTATGAACTTTAGGGTATAGAATATGTGCCAGAAGAAGAGGTGGCTAGCAGCTTTCCGGATAGATACCTTTGGAAGCCAATCCCCTTGATAGTACGGTAGTAGCATCTAAATGTGCAAAGAAAGGGGTCAAAAATGAGGAAGTGGGGGTAAGCCAGATTTAAGGTGGTTGATAGCCCCGGTCTTGAAAACCGTATAGTTTTCAAGAACTATCGAGGGTTCGAATCCCTCTCTCTCCCCTTTTTGCTCAGTAAAGCAAACGGACAGAATTCTATTGAATTCTCCCGGATTGGTATCATAAAGAAAGGGAAATGGCTCGGCTATTGAAGACCTATTGATTCTACCAACTGAGCACCCGTTTTCCAAGCTCTTGCTTTTAGGGCAGATAGATGGTCAGCTTAGCTATGAATTTGACATGACACGGTCCCACTTATGAGGAGAAGGTTCCTAGCTTCTTCCTATTCTATTATGATAGACACGGAACACTTGCCCAATCTGGGTCCGACGAAATCATCAATTCCTTTTCTGAATGTTGAGGGGTAGCTGTTGTTAAACCGGGACGAATATTATACGAAATGTTTGGTATAAAAAAAAAATGCGAAAAAACAAGAATTTTCCTTTTTTGAATCAAAAAGAAACTTTGGGATTGCTGCACTTCGTAGCATTAAGGGGACAGTGCAATGAGGGAAATCGACTAGGAACGCGATGTCTTCCCATAAAATGAAGAGTGGAGGGAACTTCGACTGCCACTATTACTTACAATAGAACTGTCACCACTATTACTTACAATAGGCTGGCATCGAGCTACGAGTCACTTCTTCCTCGACTATGGGTGGCGTGATGCTGCTGGGCATGGTCCTCTATATGATGACTTCTCGCCTGAACTGAATTTACGGGGCCGGCCTTCCAAGCCAGTAACGGTCGGACGATAGTCAAAAGTCATAGCAAACCCCGTAGCTACTTGTACTAAAAAACAAGCAAGTAAGCCCCCTAAACAATAAGGCAATCCACACCGATGTAATGAAAGGGAAGGACCTACGACAATTGTTTTGTGGAATTAATCATTTATTTTCTTTTGGAAAGAAATTATGTTCAAGCAGGCAAATATGTCATGGTTACAGGAGTCTATTCATCGGGTCGTGCTGCTAGGCGAAGCAGGGTGAATGCTGCACCCTAGATGGCGAAATACGATCGGAATGAGCTAATTCAAACCCCTCCCTTACCTTTAGAAAACAATCAAGACGGGGTTCTTTTATCCCCTTTTACTTTTCACGATAAATTGGATAAACTCATAAACAGCAAAAAAAAAATAGCATTGCTCGATATAATTGACCTCTTTCATGATTCAACTCCTCTCCCCCCTACACACTATGACAACCTAAACCCTTTCCAAAGGTTCGATGTATTCGATCGAACCTTGCCCCAGCTCGACTCGAGACCAAGATTCCTTCCGCGACTCCGGCCGCGTTCGTAAATATGGGTTGCTGAGTAGAAGGCTGGGGCTGGCAAGCGTGGGGATTCCGCTGAGCCTCTTCCACCTTTCTGCTAATCTGTACTTATCCCACCCCAAGAGGATCTGCGCGGCTCTATTTCGACCGGACCAGATAGGGGAACAACTACTACACCTTGAACACCAAACTAATTTCTTCTCTTAATCAATTATGAAACGTGACTAAAACCAAGCTTTAGAGGGAGCGGAGAGATGCCCAGATCATCTCCGCTGCTTGGTCCAAAAGTAAACCAACCCCTTGGGCTGCTACGAAAAACGAAAGAGCTCAGTAAGGGTAATAGCGAGTGTCCCTTCCGGGTTAGACCTTTCCTTTGTCAACACGCCTATATACGTCACTAGAAGAACTTGAAGAAGAAGAACTTGAAGATACTGTGTCTTCCATTTATCTACACCCTATTTGGTTCTGTATTTTGCTTTAAACTTCGAATGAAAGTAAATTCAAAAACCTGAAACAGACAGAGTGTTTGAAGCGTATCGATCGATAGAATATCAAGTGAATCCAAATCTGCCGAATCACCCATGGTATGATCTTCTAGATAAATAACACTGAAAATGAAATGTAGGAGTATCAAAACAGTTTTGAATGTTAGAATTAAGTCGTCACTTTTTATAGAAATATTTATAATCTCATTGGTGTATTGTGCTTGAACATATGTTTCAATTACTTTAGAGGTACTTTCAGGTAATGTATGAT